TCAGTCATCGTTCCACACCCTCCGGATCAAGTACGCGATCCAGACCCTCCGGGTCAGACAGCATAGGAACGTGCACTCGGGGCACGTGGTTTTGATCAGTCGCATTTTGACAAATTCGCAGTTTTCCCGGATCCGGCAAGAATTTGGGCCCCAAGACATACAGTGCATCTCCAACTCTGCGTTTGAAGGCGCAAGGCGGGCTTGGGCTTGTTGCTTGCCTCGGCCATGTGGTCAGATGTGGGGTTGGGGCCTCCTTGGGACCGCAATGAATACCTCTCCGGCCTTTCCATCCCCACCAAAGAGGTGCGGGGCGCACCGTGCGGGCGGTGGGGGCGAAGGGGTTGAGAAGCCATGCACCTACTAGCCCTTGCAGACATTGCTCCTGTGGCAAAGCAGCTATAGGGTCCATCGCTCAGCTTCAAGGTTCGAGCTTAGTAAACGCCCAGTCCAACATCGTTCTGAGCCTTTAGTCAAAATCCTCAAGCTGCCGGTCTCGAAGCATCTAGGAAGAAGCCGCACGCAATCTCCGAGCAAGGCGTGCCATGGAACAGACTTCATTATTTATTGCATTCTATCGTAGCCCACCCGAAGAATCTCAGGTGCATTAGAGTCATTTGAACGCACTAGACAATGGAAGCTCCTTACTTAAGACCTTGACATCTCTCTCTCGCTCTCTCTCTCTCTCTTGATATGTGAGGTTTTAGGCTTCAGCCCTTCAAGCCCAAAGCCTCTGATGGAAAGCTGCAATTCCTAAGCATCCAAAATGGGTGCTGAAGAACTAGCAGCTGATGAGTGCCTCGTTCTATGGTGCTGGGGCCTTCGAACTCGAAGAGCAAGAGCCCGAGGAGCGCATCGACCATGCCTGGGGGGTAGTCAAGTCATCACCTAGGTGAACTCATGCCAAGTTGACGCACCCATTAACCAACGAATGTTGTTAAGGTCGGGTAGAGAGATGGACGGGCAAGGCATAAGGCTGGGGATCTGGAGTCTTCCCTGAGCTACCGGCTTGCAGTGGGAGATTGAGGGAGTCCACATCTCTGATGAACTTGAGAAAAGCCCGGGATGTAGCCTCACAGTCATATGGTCTACAGAACCCACAGTATGAATCCAGATCGGTTGAGAAGTTCCAAAATGCAGACTTCATTCTCAGAATTGAAAATCTGCCGTGTTCGGGGATATCAGAGACCCTGCATACCCTGTTTGCTGAAAGGAGGACAGCAGGAACGCGCAATCCAGGGAGGCACCAGGTCCTCAAGCATCTGGGTCCAAAAGGGGAAAGTACATTGTGGCTTTATGAGGTTCTTTTGAAGCATGGTTTTGCTGAATGCCGAATGAACGGTGACAGATTGTTGGTCAACTGCCTGCAGGGAGTGTTCAGATTTATGGCTTCGGGCGCATTGTGTTGGCTTCGAGCTGTTGATGTCTGACGTCCAGAGTTCTTTGAGTGCTGGGAGCTTTCTCAGCAGGTGTTGCGTGCAGAATTCCCTCCGTGCTGCAGTTGATAAAGGGAAGGAAAATGTGGTCCAGACAAAGATGTTGGACAGGGTGGTGTGGCCAAATCCCTGAGCACTTTTTCTCCAAAACTTGTGCAAGTCACAAGCCCAGAGGACCCTGTGGTGTAGCTCTCCGAAACCACTACCCACAAGGACAGAAGAAGGATGGCAGTCCCGGTGCTGAATGGCTCCCGCCCGCCGTCTTCCTCGTGCCATTGCTTTCAGAATCATGTTGATGCTTTTGTGTAGGGTGAGGGGCTAAGGATTTTGAAGATTCGCAGGGAAATTGGAGCCTGGCCGCCTAGTTCACATGTGGCTGACCTGTTCAGGGCCTGCCCCAAGCTCAGCAGTCCACATAGAGCCGCACCGTTGGCGATCAGATCGGATGTGATCCCTTGATGTTGAAGTTCAGGGCGCAGCGTACGTCAATTCTAGCTAGTTTGTGTAAGTCTGTTCAGTTTCGGGTAAAGGATTTCCTACTCAGGCGGTTTTGGTTTGACTCACTTGAGGTCGTCATTCTACCCCACCAGCGGGGCCGTACATGCCAAGTCCAACGCAGCGGTTGTGGACTCCCCATGGACACGTCGCCGGGAGGACGAGGATGGCGCCTTGACTCTGTTGGTATTGTTCGACCAGTATGGGTTACCGTATGGGCCTGATGTGGCAGGGTTCCAACGCCAATGGTTGTACTGAAAGATAGGTTTTGTTTCTTCTTGCTCCAGAGGATGATTCAAATTCATCCGATGCTTCATGACCTCATTACGGTTGCTCTCTTTATGAATTTTAGGATGTTTAACAAGGAGCGACCAGACATGCTTGCTCGGTGTAAGCCATGCGCACAGTTGGGCACAGATTAACCGGCTCATACCGGCTCTGTTGCGCGAAGCTCGCAAAGCAAACAAAAACACGGCAGGTGGCATGCTAAATGGTGTGCAGTTCATGGGGCTTGAATCGGCTTGAATTTAAGATGCTAAGGCCTCAGCCAGTCGCAAAGTGTGAGCCTGTACCCTCTACCCTATACACCAACCATCACAAACCTCAAGTTTCCTGGACGCCGGCAGGAAGTTGCTTTGACTTAGCCGTGCAGATTAGAAATGCTCAAGGCATAGAGCGTTTCATTGACATGACCAGCAGGCTTGGGTTTGACCATTTGGATAGCATCCGTCACACAGCATCAAAGCTAAACCCAGTCAGCAACTGCTATCAACATAATGATGAGCTTTGGGTCCATACCCAACCTTCATTATTCTTGTGCACCACACTTTTCGCGTTCCGAGGCACAGAGCGGCCTTCAAGCCGCGAGCGACGGCACCGCTCATCCTGGCACGCGGCACTAAACAAGCGACATTTTCCTGCAGTTGAGCGCGTTCAGAGGGACGATAGAATCCCCGATGGGGGTTCTGCAATGCACTGCAGGGTACAACAGAGGGTGCCAGATTCCTTGTGGGTGGACAGGCACGCCGCAATGTTGGCCCCTACTCCCGTAAAAGGGAACTTGAGGAGAGTGTGTGCAGATCATGCTGATGTCTGAGGGCTCGTCGCCATGGAAGACGTAGAGGACCCGGGCCCTTGCGCCTAAATTCGTGCAAACAGCCTGGGATGTTCAGTTCGCAATTACTTTGAGGCGTCATGCTGCCTTCTTCAACTGCAGTCTGCATCCCAACTCGCATTCCCACATCTTGACAGACTTAGCTGCTCAAGCCGCCCCGACTGGTTTCAGGTTTCAATTCGACTTGGTGAGGGTACTTTTGCTCGCAGGAGCTGCTGCACACTGCAGATGAGATGCTGACCGGATTTGACATGCTGAAACTTGGCTGTGCTGGTCCAGTGCTGGTTCATCGTGGACTAAAGTGGCAGCATCCGGCATCAGCGTGAAAACACGCGTGCAAAATTCCAAACTGGTGCTGGTCAGTCCAGTCCAGAAGCAGCTCCACCCCATACTCATTTTAAGAACACAGCTGCACACAGTTATAGCGGCCTCGAGGAGCATTGACTGCAGACTATGTTGAGCCCTGGCCGCTATCTAAAGGAACACCATCACCGTGCTCAATCGCCTTTCGCGACTCCGTGGTGCCAGCAAGCTGCACCATGACCCGCGTGTGCTGGAGGTTCTCTATCGTGCCTTGCTGTTCAGAACATGGCTTCAGGAGCATGAGATGTCTGAAGTGGTACACGGGGATCTTGTTGTGATGCTTAGTACAAGCGCAATCTTCATCGCCATGCAAGAAGTTTGCGGTTACATACTTGCCTCTGATTGTTTCAGTACGTCGGCTTCGATTTGTCCGTGTCAGAGCCCCATCCCACTGAAAGATCCAGTTTTTAGCTTGCTGCCTCCACCTGAACGAGCTTTAAAAACTCTCATTCATGCCCGGCTCGCCCAACGCCTCAAGAATTCACCCGCACCTGGGCAAACATATCCAGCTGACCTCCCCAAAACCTTCTTTTGTGACAGTCGGCGAAAATAGATTGGGAATGCCTGAGGGACTCTTCATAGGGTTCCCCCTTGCGGGCGTCGCAGAAAGATGTGGTGCTTGCATTTTCCATGGGGTCATTAGGTTGAGGGGGTGTCATCGTGGTGGCCACTCCAAGGTATCGAGGCTTGGCTTTCTCACGCTGGTGTGCCTGGAGCGTCGGAGATGGTCACCTGACCGATTACTGAAAATTTGCAGTTATTGCCTAGGGCTCTAAGCCCCAAGGAACTCATGGGTTTCCATAGGGTTTGCCGGGCAGCCGGTCTCAAAGCATCCTATGGAGACATGAATGGCAAGCAATTTCAACAGCGAGTCGTTCTTGCCGAGTGCGGAGGCAGGTGAGAGTTGCGGAATCAGCTGGGGTTGCGGGGGGAGGGAAACGATTCAAGCCTTTCGAAGTCAAGTTCAGGGTCTCCAGGCTCAGGCATGCTGAGGTCTCTCCTGGAAGTTTGCGCGCCATGTTGTGTTCGC